CATTAAACCTAAATCTTCAATTTCAATATCACTATCATTATCATTATCATTATCAGTTTTATTTGTATATGGTTCACGTTTAATTATTAAATCAAATAATGTATCTATTGATACACAATGTACTAATTGTACTGATAATGTATAAGATTTAGGTAAATTTTTAAATGACACTGCTGCTAGTGATTGTAACCATAGATAATTTAATGTATTACTTGTATTTGCTTTAAGTATTATTTTATCTGTTATATCAGTTGGAAATGATATTGAATGTGCTTGTGAACCAACTTGTTTTGATATATTATTATTAATAACTGGTTGATTCTGGAAGGAAAAAAAAAAAACACCAAGAAATTTTAAAATGAGAAAAAAAAAAAAGAAAGTTATATATTTACATTGCATTGAACAAATAAATAAGGTGGTAAAACATCATTATGTCTTTCATGAACAGTTGTTGGTGCAATACGAAGAAAAACTCGAGCAATATTTTTTCGTATTAAATCAATATCAGTTTCATTTAATGTAAAACGCATTGGAGAAAATGCATGCCAATCAACCGGCATATTTGAACATTCAATATTACGCATTTTTTCAAAAAAAGGTAAATTTATAAATTGTATATGATTTGCTTGTGGTAAAACTTCTATTGGTGGAGTTTTAGGTAAAACAATAGGACGATTTCGAGATGATGATGATGATGATGATGATACACGATGTGATCGAGATGAACGTTTACGAGCATTATTTATTTGTTGAATTTTATTAGCCATTTGTGAAGTAAAATTTGATGTAATAACTAATTTACAACGTTGAAGTAAATCACGTTTATGTCCTTGACGAGTTACATTCGCAACATCAAGTAAAGTCTAAAATAAAAACGAAATAGAGAAATTAGAATATTATTTTGTTTTAATTTATAAAATAACAGACTTGTAATTCTGAAACACGATAATTTTTGATTGATTCAAGTGCATTGGATTTTGCTTGAGAACTTGTTGATGAACTCATATTTAATTAATTATAAGCATTGATAAAAAACGAAACAAACAGAATATTTTTTCTTCTAAAAAGAAAAAATAAATAAAGAATGATTATTTGTCAATTATGTCTAGATGTTTTATATTGGGAATTAAATTTGCTTTTTCTGTTTCTCTATATTGGAAAACATTATAAATATTATATGATCAATTAGCTATTCGCTACTGGTAATAATTTGACAAGCTTTGATTGTAGCGATAATTTTGCTTGACTTGTTCCTATTTTATTTTATTTTAAAGGAAAATATTTTCTATAAAAATTTTTTTTTTAAAACCCAAACTTTTTTTCTTCAATTAAGTATTAAATATGAATTTGTAAGTTAACTTTTATCAATATACCGTATTCTAGCTCCATCTATCATAATGAATATTCTTATCGATTTCGATCGTTCTGTTATGAATATATAGTTATACATTCTGTCAAAAGTAGTCTTATAAGCTTCTAAGTTGCTGGTGTATTTCTCCAAACTAAAAATAGGATATTGGCACAGATGCTAAACCACACTTAATTTCTAGAGTGGTTCACAGACATTTATAAGTTATCCACAGTCAGAAATACAACAACAAAAACTGAAGTGATAGGTGGTATATGCATATATTACGGTCAAAATTGGACGATATTTACAGTTTGAACAAACAAAACTGTTTTTTTCAAGATTTTCTTTTTGTATTTCACTAAGGATCGTTTATATCAAATATTCGAAAAAATTTGTTTATCAATAGAGATAAATTAACAAATACATTTGTTCTTGAATATTCAGTTGATTTAAATCAGTCCCTACAGAAGAATTAAGACAAATTGTTATAGACGATTTAAGAGATACTACAATTATTGAAGTATTTAAACTTTATATTCATCGATAGATAGACGTATGCGTAAGTAACAATAAAAGAAAATGAACTCGGAACGAATGTTTATGTAACAAAAAAAAAAAAAGAGTTTTTCGTTTGAATCGAAAATATGTGTTAATAGGTTAAAATAAGATAAACTATAAAGAATTCAATGTAAAAGATAATTGGTGAAATGAGGAAAACTCTTTATTTGTTCAAACTCTGAGTCTTCGACTTGATCAATTGACTTCTAGTTCAATTCTAATTTTCCTTCGAACAAACCTAAATTTCCTAATATTGTTCAAAGATAATCTAGTCTAAAATCGAATTCCAATTTTGTCTAATATTAAGTTCTAATGTGATTCGGACCGAACAAAAATCTTGGATGTAATTTGTGCTATACCGGTGATAGTTGGATACTTAAACGGATGATGATCCTTTGACTGCAGTATATCAATCGTTGCTCTCTAACCGACAATCTATTGATGGACTATCGTTAGTTCTTATGAGTATATCTCTATACTGGCGGTAATGCAAACAAATGTGCAGCATGGATTATATCAAACTTCGGATTTTTCCAATATACAATGTACAATATAACTCTTTGGGTTTTGTATTCATATACTAATGTTTTTCTTCTTCATTGTCGAGATGATTTATGTATGTTTATATTAATCTTCTCGAAATGAAACATCTTTTTTTTTTTCTTTTCTAAAGAATATTTAGGATTAATTGTTATTTAGACATAAGTTTTTCTTTTGACATTAGATTTTTTCAGTAATATGATAATACTCTTATGAATAATTAAAAAATATAAATCGTTGAATATATTCATAGATTAAAAAGTTAAATTTTAAAAAATCTGTTTTACTTGCCTTTATTTATATAAGAAAAACGATATTTGCTTTTTTTCTCATTTATTGATAAAGTTACATAAAAATATGCAAATCGATATAACTTTGATAAGTAGTTGCACTATATTGATTTTCAATAATTTATTTAAAAACACATTCTGCATATTTTAGCACAATTAAAAATCAATAAAAATTAACTATTGAAAGTTGTTTATATAGCTTCTCTTGTAATATTAAAAATCTGTTCATGTCGATCTTATGTAATGTATCTCATCGTCAAAGATACATTAAGACGTATTCATATCATTGTGCAGCAGATGTTAGTGTAGAAAAGTACAAAATCATAAGATGAATCAAATTCGACTATTAGACATTCATTAACTGTTAAGAAAACAAATTATTCATCAGAATAAATCGGATATAGTATTTATCTGTAGCAAAAAAAAGAAACTTTGATATACAATCCTTTATGTAACAAAGTCTAATGAGATCATTTTGTCTTGTTCTAATATTCTTTCACTCAATATATATCATGCATGTTTCATTAGGGTCTCTGGAAAAGGTTATTTTCTAATAGGAATGGATTTGCTGACACTTAAAGAGAATTTTCTATGATCTTTTAACACATTATTATCATTATCATTAAACAAACAAAGAAATAATAACTATTGTAAATAATTATTTTAGACGTTATAAATAATTAAATCACACACATGAATATAAGTTTCGAAAAATTGATTTTTATCATATATCAAATTCTTTTTTTCTCTATGTCAATCAGTTGATTAGTTTCGTTGATTCTGATCAATAATTATTCCATCTATTTTAATGACTTGAAGTGTTTTCTTTTCTTCTATTGTTAAAAGAACTACTGGGTTTTCTCTTTATTGCTTGACGTCTGTCAAATACAGTGACGAGATATTGACACTAATCATGCATAGAAAAGATGTTTGCTGTATGCATGTGTGTATGTGTGTGTCTCAGCAACACTAATAGTATAGTGTATTAAAAAAAAAATAATGAATAAGATGAAGAACGAAAGAATTGCTCGACACAATCTTTGTCCTGAAAAACATCAACAAACAATCAAACTTGCACTGTTCCCTTTTTTTTGTCTGTTTGCCAGCTCTTTGCATGTGCTTGTTATAGCGTGTAGAGATGCGTGCGTGCATGCATGCATCCTTTATTTTGAAGCAATATGAATAAAGAAAGAAATTATGATGATGAGAATCTCTTTGGACAATCTTCATTCTTTTTCTTTAGTTTCTCTTCGTTTTTTTTTTCTTTGACTTTATCATTTTTTTCCGTCTCCTTGTTCTTTTTATTTATATCACAATTATTGATAGACCACAGGCCACTCGACCTTCAAGTTTGCCTAATCTTATGTGTTCGAGATTGTATGACTTATGCAGTTTTATGATTTAGAGAAAATGCCAGTACTTAATTGGCCTAAAACACTATGTCTGATGATTATCGTTTAGTAGAACTGTAACAGTAGTTCGTGGATGTTGTCAACAAAATAAACGTCGAGAGCAGGAGATGAATTTTCTCTTGCTCTCTACCGAGCGCATTTTCCTTATTCTTCTCGTTAACGAGTTTGTATGTGTGCATGCACTAGACGTAGAATAAAATAATGATGAGAACAATTTACTTGTCAAGAACTGACTCTATTGACTAATGTCGTTTATTCTTATTACCAGTTCTTTTCTTTTACTTTCATTTACTCACACATCTTTTTCTGATTTGAAACATACTAAGATATGTTATGTGTATATGTTTGTGCGTCTGACATGAAGAAATACTAAAGAAAATAGATAGAAAAATAGATAGATCAATGTAAACGACAAAAAAAAATAGTAAAAAAAAAGAAGAAAGAAGAAGAAGAAGAAGGAGAAAAAGAAGAAAACACTCGCACCTCTCCTCTCTCCTATAGAGCGACGATGGAACAAGCGCAAATGAGACGAAGAGAGCACGAATGCACACAACACCTTTCAATTCTGTGTTCGGTAGCACAGCTAGAGAACACACATGCAGTGCTAGCAGAACGACCTTTTCTTCTATTCTCGCCACTACCTTCTTCCCTCCCTCTCTCTCTCTCCGCTAATGATGGAGAAATTTATGCACATGACCGTCGTTGGAGCAGACGTGTATCACTTTTTTTCTCTTGTCTTGCTACATAGAATGATGAATACAGACTAAAGAAACTATATATTATGTTCAATAAACTAGTCAAAATTGAATATTTTTATATTTAGATTTAACTGCATATATAAAATTAATCATGCAAATGGCGTCATCTTCTGCCGCTTATCTTTTACCAGGATCATCATCATCATCATCGATAGGGGCCAAAACAACATTTATTAAACAGTTACTACCAAAACCATCACAAACAACAGGATCAGCAACACTTCATTCTGTTCATCCTCAACTTCAATACCCATTTCATCGATCTTCTGCTTCTAATCAACAATTTTCAAGAATAGCACCTCATGTTGACACACTTCACTCATTAACGGTTAATAATACCAACAATGGTACTTCACTATTGACAACAAATAATAATCATAATACCAATAATAATACATCATCTGTGTTGACAACTAACAATGGTGACGATAGTGGTGGTGGTGGTGGTGGTGGTGGTGGTGGTGGTGGTGGTTCTGGCGGACATAGTCTTTCACAAAGTATGGAATCGATTAATAATATTGGTTTAACAGATGATGAGGTAAGCAAAAAAAAATGCAAGAAATTTAGTGTAGATATATTATTAGATTTATATCTTTGCATTAGTAACAATAAGAAGATTACCACCTGGCATAGTTCGATCTCTAATTGTTCTGTTTTATTTGTTTATCTTGTTTGTCTGTCTTTCTATATATTCTTCTTTTTTTCTTCTTCTCCGTCTCATCGATTTTTCTTTTGTATATGCCTATACACATGACAAGATCCTAATAGTTGATTGTTCTGATCGATTCAGCAAAATAACAGTAACATTCTTCTTATTATTATAAAAATAGAAGTCTGTCAAGCTTTTTGTCGATCATCGTCTTTATCAATTGTTTCGGATAAAGTGACATTGTTCGGACATTTTTCTTCGCTCGGGGAAAATTAACTTTGTTAGTTTCTACTTCAGAATTATAGATGTTTTAATCAATCAGTCATCATCGTTGTTCGACAAATTGTATAATCAATTCGTGAACAAAAACAATTATGATCGATCTAGGTATTAAATAATTATTTTTTCTTCTGATTTGTATCAGCAAAAAGAAAAAAATAAGAAAAATACAAACAATGCTTAAGCATATGTATAAATTTTTCTGAGAAAGAGATTTTGTTAATTTCGGTTTTTATGTACTTTCTTGTTTCTTCTTTCTCATATGTTATTGCTTTTTCTTTATCGTCTTCATATACATTTTTTATTGATTGTCAGAGAACGATGCAGATGTTGCCAATGTTAGCCAATGAACCTGGGAGCAAGTAAGGCGAGAATGGACGGACGCAGGACATTAACCTTTTTTTTCTTTATATGACTTGTTCATTGTGGAAGAAACCTTTGCCTATGTAAATATATATATATATATACATATATATGTCTGACTCTTATAATCAAAGAAAAAATTGTCAAAGATCGATGTGTATGCCTATGAGAAAGCTCACGCACGAGTGATGATCTACATGGGTCGTCGACGCTCTCTGCTTATTACATTACTAAGTATGTGGCAAGCATATGCAGTTAATGGGCTGAAAGACGAAGATCCGACCGACCATATACTAATTGCTAGCACGCACAGCTGTTCTTTGTAGCGATTGAATAAATGAAAGAAAGGATAGAAGTAAGACGTGATGAGTGATAAAGATACATTTTCTTATAAAAGAAAATCGATTTTCCACTTGCCCCTCAGGCAATTCATACGTACATCTATGTCATTTTTTTTTTTACTCATCATCATTATTATTATTATTACACGAGGGAATTATTTATTACAAACATATCAAAACGATGAAAAATAAGAGTTACATTGATATAAGAGAGGCATAAAAATTTGAAGGCTTGCTTTTTTCCCTTTCGCCCGGAAGATAGCAATTTGCTTGGATATTATAGTAATGATCACACTTTTTGACTTATTCATTCTTTCTTTTTCACTAACGAAAGAAGTAGTCGTAGAAAACGACGAAGAAAAAGAAAAGAAACATTATTCTTATTGAAAAAAAATATACAGACAATTATTATAGCCGTGCTGTTGCTACTAGTAGGCACTTGTCGAATCCTCGAGTGGATGAGAAAAAAGAGAGAATACCGAACAATAGTCGTCAAGATGGCATTGCTTCTATGATTGAAATTGACACTAGCTTGTGACTGTATTACCTACGGGCAACATTTTACTTTGAAATCAAAATATAAAAGAAAGCTCATATATATGATTGAAAAAAAAGCAAAGAACAATATAAACCATATGGAATTATAATTGTAGTACATGAGAAAGACACTTCTTTTTTCTTTACACAATAAGACAATGTAGTAACAAGAAAAAAATTGTTACTACGATAATTCCATTCGCATAGCTTTTCTGCTCTTTTTTTTTGGTGTGTATGTGTGCGTGTGTTGCTGATGTCTCTTTTGTACACGGAATAGCAACATACACACAAATAAGAAAGCAGAAATTGCAGACATACGTATAAAAAAAAAAAAAAGCTGTATCATTTTTCGTATTTTATTGTGTGATGGAACCAGTTATTCTCAATGGAGATACAAATAGTAATGGAAATGGAACTGATCCTAGGTAAGACATATGTTAATAGATACTAAAAAAATAAAATAAAAAAATAAACACTTTTGTATCCAAATTAACAATTGACATCGCGCTTAATCAGTTAATATATGACCTTTTTAAATATGTTTCGGTATCCCGTCAGATCGATATATTAGCTTGACCTTGTACACATATGTATATACATATAGTCAATAATTTCATTAGAGTAGTTTTTTTTACGTATATAGATATTCAGGGCAAGCCAAAAGTTAGTTTCCCTCGAAGAAAACTTTTGTCTATCTTCGTTATATATTGACCGAATGAATTGAGATTTGCTTTTTCCAATGGCAATAAAGATGTGCTCATTGTTTATATCCATAAGAAACCGATGAGAAAATACTATCTCTTGTGGTATCGTTTTTACACATGTGTGTGGACTAGTAATTATAATGAATTGGAAAAAACAGTATGTTTATCTTTGTGATCGTAAATAATCCGTATGCAATATTTAAATCAACGATCTAGATGATGACTGTTTGTTCCTCGATTTGTGTTACAGGTATATAACTTAATAAATAGTTTAACTGGAATATTTTAGTCATATAAACAACGGAAATTATTCATGGAATTATTTAGGCAAGAATTTTGTTTGTTTTCATAAGTAATTACAAATCACAGGTTCACGCTTATGTCAAAAATAATATAAGATAGTATTTTTCATCGCTTTTCTTATGAATATAATCTATGAACATTCCTTTTTGTTGTCAGTGAAAGAAAATAGATCATTTCATTTGGTCATAGTATAGCAGAGATTATTGAGCTATTATTCTTAAGAAATTAGCAATTTTCATATTCAGAAAAAGGTCATGATATTTCTTGTTATTTTCTTTGAAGACTTTCATAAGTTATTTTGTGATAAATAATGAGAAATACTTCTTTTTTCCTTGATGTTATATGAGTTTATTGACAAGTAAAATTGTATTTTTTTATTTTCGGGATTTCGACAGCATTTATCGACATCTATTGACAGATTTATTGACGGAATCGCGCCATTATTATCAATCGATTTCGCTAAATGTCAATGTAAAAAATGAGATCTGTATATGAATGCATGAGTATGCCATAAAGAGTATCATTAAAAAACATGTGAACAACATTGATAGAGATCGATTTTCGACTTTCGTTTCGTTCCATTGAAAAAATTCATTAATGAGTATCTAGTGTTTTAGACGATCGAATATCTATTTGAATGTTATTTAGTCAAGTTTTTTTTTTCTACCTTAAAGAAAAGTGTTTCCGATTATAGACGACCATTTGGTTGCCATTACTTGAGGGTACATTAAACTTTTTTACTTTTTTTTATGTGTGACAAGTGATCGGGCCATTCCTTCGTTCCGATCGATCTCCTGTCTCTCTCCCTCTCTCTCTCGTCATCTTCTTCTTTTTTCCAATTGATTTCCTTTTTTTTCTTTATTTTATGCATTTAAAAAATTTATTTTCTTTTTCTTTTGTATAATATTTGACGGAAGAAGTAGAGTATCGAGGGAAAACAAATAGTTTCTATCGATTTTTCTTCTTTTTTTTTTTTCTATGATTGAAAATGAAACGAGAGTGTGCAATCGCATTCTCTTTTTCTTTTTACTCTTCTCGCGTTACCTATTTAAATTGATATGATGATGCGACTACAGTGGCGGCAGCAAACGATCGAACAACACAACATACCCTTACTATCGTCCTCTTTTTACAATCGTTATTGAACATATATACATATATATATATATATATATATATATTTATATTGATTGCTGGGTTTGATAGATATAAAGAAAGAAAAAAACCGAAGAAGTGAGAATAGAGATTGTTTCGTCCATATATGTATATAGTTATCAATTCGTCCTATTATGTACTGTCTATTGTAGTCATTGCTACAAGATGAAAAGTTCTACTGACGAACTAAATGAAGTAAGTAGGCAAACAGAATTTAAACACATTTGAGTTTTTTATTTTTTTGCAAAAACTATACACATTACTACACATATGATTAGCACGTAACCCTTTGCAGCACTTATAGTCGATGGCGCTTGTGCACTACCATATCACCATGTATATATATATAGTTATATTTATGTATATATACGTACATTTGCATATAAACACGATGAACACTTATCAATATAAACAGAAAAAAATTATTTTGCTCTATTACTAGAAGGACCAATCGGATTTCGATCCGACGATATCCTATTGCTTATGTCCTTAATCCCATTTACTTTCATTCACTGCTTTGTGTGTTTTGTGTGATTTGCTGTTGCACTTCGACAATAAGAAATCTGCTGAATATCAAATTATCCCTAGATGAAGACAAGTATTCCCTAGATGATGATTAAGATAAATATGTATATTACACATACACAGATTGTGTCGTTCGTGTATATATATATACACACAAAAAACATAGGAAAAATATACTTTTTAGCATTGATCAATGGATCGATCGACTCAATATGTCGAACTACGAATATATATATATATACATGTGGAGACTATGACATCGAAATAGAAGAAAGACAAAAAAAAAGAGCTTTTAGTCGAGTTGAGAATAGCACAATAATGTTATCACGCAATCATGTTTCGGACATAATTAGTCACGCTATCATCGTAGTTGTATATGTGAGAACGAAATAAAAATGTACTGAACCGCAAATATACATCATTATTAATTGTTCCAATCAAATAAGAATAGTTTTATTTTTTAATGCTCTTTATAAAAAAAAAAAGAAACAAAACTTTGGTTAATCTATCATGAACATAGGTTATACTTTTGAATTCGAAACATTAATAAAGAATTGACTTGATCTTCTCGAATTACATGATGTATGGCACTACATCTATCACATGCCAAGTAACCTTTTGATTACACTTTTACATTTCTTTTCGTTTTATGATTACAGAAATTGGAATTTTGAAAATGCTTCAATACAGTAGCAAATAGAAAAAAAATGAGTAAAGAGCAAAAAAGCAAATGATTTTTTTATATACGTGCTTACAATCAACTCGTCTTCTTTTACTTTTTTTTGTTCTTCTGTCTATTTAATAGTAGCAAACATATACATAGAGACATTGTATATCTATTCTTTTTCAAGTATTGATCCATGAAATTCAATTAAATCGAACAAAGACTTATTTCTTTGCCATCATCGTCTATTTTTCTTCTCTTTACCGTAAAAGCCTTTTGAAGTGTGCATGTATGTGCACGACAATGCCATCACCATCATCACTGTCGTGTAAGCCAGAGGTAAGTCTAACCAGAAGCAGTAAATTCTTTTGCTTTTTTTTTTTTGTTGTTGTCCTGATTATATTTTTCTTAATGGAAGAGAAAATCTTTTTTTCTCACACTCTTATATACCGCTCATCAATTAATTGAAAAGCATAAGCATATACATATATATATATACATACATTGACACACCCGATGCGCATATGCAAGTTAGATCAACACGCAACATCCCTTGTTCGCGTCATTACCAATTGTATAAACAACATTTTTTTTCGTCTCGTATTTTCTCGCTCTCTTTCTCAATCTTTTTCTCTCTTAGTTGTCGTTACTTGTCGCCGTCCCCCTCCATATCATTGCTCTTCATTTCTCAATTAGGAAGAATTGTTCACTTCAAGTGTGTGACATTCACTTGGTTTTTTTTTCGATCTCTTTTTTTCTTTCTTTCGTATTATTGATCAAAACATAACTAGATTTTCATCATCATCACCTCAACTGTTATATACGCACATACATACACATAACGTCAAAAAAAAGAGAAAATCTCACTAGCAAAAAAAGAAACAGAGATGACACATGAAACAACAGTCGACAATGGAAGTGCAACTATCTGCACGGATACTAACACCAGCAAAAAAGCACTTCGGTCAAATAATGATAAGGTGCATCTGTTGTATAGACGACCGGTATGTGCGTGTGTGTTTGTACTAACGATACGAAACGATATTTGATCTTCATAAAAAAAAAGACATTTGTTAAAATTGTTTTTTTTTATCTTGATAATTAATCTAATCGATATTATTTATTCTAGGTTCGAACTTTATTCGTATCCGGTTTACCGATGGATGCTAAACCACGAGAACTCTATCTTTTATTTCGAGGATTTAAGGTAAATAAATTTATATAAATGAGTTGTTATGTTCATATCACACCTATATAGTAGATATCTCATCTAGACTGTGTATGTTTTTTTTTTGATAACATTTCGTTTAAATAAATTTGATTGACGGATAGAAAGAGAAGTATTTGTCATTAGCAACTTGTCTATTGACTGATCAAATATACAATTGAATAGAACAAGTATGACCGATATGGTTATCATGTTGTTGTTTTTTTCTATTATTTAGGGTTATGAAGGAAGTTTACTTAAAGTAACAAATAAAAATGGTAAAAATTTATCACCTGTTGGTTTTGTCACATTTGCCAGTCGAGTTGATGCTGAAACTGCTAAACAAGAACTTACTGTAATACAAAAAAAAAAAAAAGAAAATTTTGATGATTTTTTTTCTTTTTGCGTTCGATTATTTAGGGAGTTCGATTTGATCCTGATCTTCCAGCAACTCTTCGACTTGAATTTGCTAAATCGAATACTAAAGTTCAAAAACCTAAACATCCAAATCAAAATCAATTAACAGCTGCAACACAACAATTTATTCAAATTCCACGTATGTTTACATTTTCTTTTATAATAGAATATTTCTTAATTTAAGTTTTGCATTATTCTTTTTTTTTGTTTCTAGAAGAACTTGGTGCCGCTTTCTTTCCTACGGAAGCATGGGGTCAACCATTAACATTCGATTTAGGTCCAGCTGGTTTACATCATCCAGCTTTATTACATACAACTCTCCATGGTCCACCAATGGTAAGTTTTCGAACTAAAATTTTTCAAAACTCTATTAAAAACAAGCAAATTTCCTTCGTATATCTTATTTAAGTTGATGAGCTGATAGAGTTATATCTGTCTATGTAAGTATCGATACTTCGAAAAGCATTTATAAAAAAAAAAACAAAAAACAAACAAATCAGTATCGAAGAGAAAAATCTTTCCACTATTAGTCAATCGATCACTGACCACTGGCACAAATAGTGTCAATTTGTTTTATTTTATTTTATTTTTCTTACTCTATATTCGACACAGCTCCAAATAAACAACTTTTTTTTTCACAATACACGCGCGAGCGTACACACTATTTAAAAGCAGAACTCAATTATGACACCGGAGCGCATATGAGAAGTTTATTTTGTGATATACTTCTCTCACTATATATTTTTTTTTCATTTATTTATTTATTCGTGTGTATGATCAACATGGAGAGACAAAAAACTAAAGATAAAATACATTTTATATTTTCGTACGTTTTTGTCTTCTTTTCTTTATCAAAGTATGTTCGTCCATACGCGCGCGTACGCATATTTTATATTCTATTTGTTCTAATGCACAAATTTGCTTGTTACACAATACTCTTTTATTTTCTTGCACAGATATTTATTCGTTTTATATTTATTGTTTTCGTTTTTTTTTCGTGATTTTTAAATAGGGTTTGGGTCATCCAATGCAAGGAACATCAGGTATGACGCAATTACAACAATCAAATCAAGCTGTAGCCGTTGCAGCAGCTAATGGACAATTGAATGGTGGTTGTTCAACATTATTTTTAACCGGCTTTCCTGAACATGATTTTAAGAATATGTCATTTGCTTTGTAAGGATTCGAAGTTTTCTTTTCTTTTTGTTTTTAAATAATTAAAAATTTTGTTTGTTTTTATTTATACAAAAAAGGCCGGGCAAAGCTCTTTGACAATCAGCGTGTGATTCATATGATGACTCGTCCTCGTCTTCATCAACTAAATTAACAACTGATAAACAACAAGTTCTTTCTGCTCTTAGTAATCAACCGAAACAACAACAACAACAACAACCAGTGACTATTGTTGATTTAGTTGAGAAACAACAATTATTGCTTAAACGTTCTACGGATGAAAATTTATCAACATCGGATAAAAACATAAAACGTTTACGACATCAATAATCAATTGATTATGTTTTTTCGTTCAGGTTTTATTGTTTTCTTACCCTTGTCCTATCCTATTGAAATCCCTGTCTGTCCAACAGTGATAATATTCAGTCTCATGTTGAATCACGAACGCATCTTTATTGATTATTCTTCCCATGTTCTTTTTGTTTTTTCTATTCTAACCTTGATCGTTTTCATTTTCTGTTTTTTTTTCTATCAATAATCTCTTGGTATCTGTGTGTATGAATGTTTTTCGTTTTTTCTTTTGGTTCAATCTCAATTTTGTATATTGTATGTAAGGCGCCATTCATATGGGCATTTATTCATATATATGTACTTTTTTTTTTTCTTCTTCTTCTTTTTGGTCCGTCCATTCGCGCGCTGCATTTTGTTGATTTTCTGTATTTGTCGAGTGTTTAAAAAAATTTTTTTCTGTTTTTTTTTGTTTGTTTGATTTGAAACAGTTTTTTTTTCGCGCAAAAAACAAAAATAAGAAAAATTTTATTGAAATTTATGATCAGTATAGAACAAGTTCGGATGTTAAAAAAAGCAAAATAACTTAAATAATGGATTTTATCATCATTCATTTATGATTGATAAAATGACTTCTGTTCGTTTACGTAAAAGTTTTGGATAAAGTTCTGAACGAAAGTAATTGCTCTCTAGGAAGTACTTCCTAGTACTTTTAATATTTTGGATACATGAGTACGATAATAAACTTTGAGTCTACTGGACTTATCACTTAGACATAATCGTATCTCAATCATATTGGCACAAATATTTCCGGTCAACGTTTCATTTAAAATTCCACTTTCATAGCTATCTCTAGCGCAGAATCCCTTTACAAATAATTGAAATATTGTCTTTTCATCAAGAAAGAATGTCTTTGGAAAATAAATCTTTTCTATAATATGACTTTGATCTATTTGTTCGAAAATTTTAGTAGACAGCTTCCATGCGACGACGAGTCTGTTCTAACATTGTTAAAACCATAGAACTGAATAAAGTCGAGCTAGCACTACAACATGGGCTCATTGTTTACTAAGATCTTGATTATATATCATGAGTTTTGATGATAATCAAGTAGACATATGGAACTGCCTTTAGCATTAGACAAAAACAGTGGTAGCTTGCGAAGTAACAAAACGATAAGCAAAAAGTTTCTGAGTTCATGTGAACAATAGAAGACCAATTGATATTTGCGATCAGAGTTTATTGTCGTACGTATATACCCAAAATATTCACAAAGAATATTAGTACTTCTTGGAGGGTGGTTAATTTTGTCCAGGACTGTAAAATATGCATAAAATTGAAATTATCGTTGAATAATATATTTACGTATAGTCCATGGTAATTGATCATAAAATTTTGATTGATTAGTTAATTGTTTCAATTGATCAAGAGTTTGTTGATCTAATGAGGAATGACGTCGACGAGAAGAAGTTACTCCCCATGATAATTGAAATGTTTCAGACCGATTCTCTGAACGACTACGAGCATAATGAATATTATGTGTTGAAGGCAATAATAATGCATCATATGCTAAATGATAATTTCTTTTTATTGCAGCTAATTTTTTTTTAATATGACGTATACGAACAGTCTCAGCACGAATTAAATAATCTTTTGTATCATCACTACTTTCACCTAAATAAATATTCCAAAGTCGATCTCGATTTTGTTTATCAACTAATTCTTCTAAACAAAAAAATAAAATAAGATTTCAAATGTTTGAATATTACTATATCACTATATTCACCTAAGATTTCTTTTTTATTATTATGATCATTTATATTTCGAATAAAAGTTCTTGTTCGACGTCTAACTGAATCTTCGTTTTCTTCCGAACGAGTTGACATTTGAATTCCTAACATAAATACAATACCAACTGAATACCAAAGAAGAACAACAATAATATATATGATAGCACCGGTGGTTTCATAATTTGTTAAAGATTTTTCAACAATAGTTGTTATGTTAAATTTCAATGTACTATTTTTAATCATTTCGTTTTTTTATTTATAGAAGATGATTATAAAAGGAAAGAAAAGCATATTGTTTTAAACACCTTTACCATGTCATATATTTCTCTATATGTAAGACTTATTTATACTCTGTAAGTCTATCGAATAGAAGTATAATTATATATAGAAAAAACAGTTATCATTGACAGATTAATTTTGTTGTCTTTTCTATAGACGACATAGATCTATGCAGAAAAATTATTCCATAAAAAAGTACATTAAAAAGTAATAAGAGGAAGAAAATATGATTAATGCGCATTCATTTATTGAATATGCGTTTTCATATATGTTTGTGTGTGTAAAAAAACAGCGTTTCTCTTGATTTTTAGAATAAAATGCCTAACAAACTTGAATTGAATGATTTCAATGTATATCCATATCACCTTTGGCTCTTTTTTTGTACGTCAAGTACAGTATAAAAAAAAACCACTCAAGATATCAAACACCGAATGCAAAAAATAAATATTAGACGACAATAAAAATACCATCTGACCTCAATTTAGTTGGTAAAAAAAAACGTTCTATCAATTAATATATTTTCAATCAATTGAAAACATGCAGAATAAATCATTAATTTTTAAATATTTGGAACTTTTGCAATATGTGTGTTAATAAGACCAATGATTAACGTGTAGCATTCTTTAGGGAGATGTATATTTAGACTGGATTTTATCTTGTTGATGTGTTTATTAAACACTTTTATAAATAGTTAAATAAAGATGTTCCATATTGTCACGTTTGTCGTTAATACCACAGATGAAAGCATGCGAACTGATTCCGATAAGAAAACACCGGAAATTGATAAAATTAAGAGACAATATTCTGCACCGGAAAAATCTGACGATTTTCCGGTCTGTGATAGCACGGCAAACTTTGATTGATTTGCTGAGTTTTTCTATTAGATACGATTATTTTTTTGCATGCTTTGGACAAACTCTGATAGAATCTGCTTGTTTTTGAAGTTTTGGATCCTCTCACAAGCCAGTTCGATATAGCTTTGTACATTTATGATACAAAGATTTAAATAACTTCTTCTCCCATATATTTACAACTGAATAATATCAATAAGAATTCAAGTAGCATAGATGTAAAAGTCTTTCAATGACTTCGAATCAACTAGTTTATATTTATGAGAATTTAAGCTTGTTTGAAATAACTATTAGGAATAAAAGTAAAATTATCTCGATAGTACATTACAAATTATCTACTAACTTCAAAATACATTCGATTAAGAGAAGTGCATATAGAAGATTTGTTCACAATATATAGAAAATTGATACGACATTTTTTTCAATAGGTTTTTCGTTGTTATCAAAGTAAAATAAAGAGAAAACGAATGAGATCTTCGTTTGAGACATAACGTCTCTCGTACACGTTATGATGAAACAACAAAATACTATTTGTTCATTGTTGGTTTTTCAAAATCTAACTCTCAAAACTTCTTTTTTATTTGTTATAAATAGAAGATGACTTATAAATATGATGTTATTCTAGTACTATTTGAGTCTATTATTACTTCTTTTTATACGAAATATCTTCTAGTATATCTTTCTTATCATTTCATGTCAATGAATTTTCAACTATCCGATGATGATCGATAATCTGTATTTAGAAACTCTTGATAATTATCAAATAATGAGATCTAAAATAGAATGTTTTGTACGCATTAGTTAGTACAATAATCAGATAACTGAAGTCTTTTACTATATAAATCCAAAGTTCCAACATGATATCATCACAGTAATAGAAGAACAACAAGTAAACATCTCATCTGATGAATACATATTTCATAGATATATCGCTTTTATCTGCGGTACTTCGACTTCCGCGGTTCGTGATTTCATTAAAAATTATAACATAGTATTATTTCTGCAGCATTTCATAGGGAGCAGTCAATCAAATAATTCGATAAATAGATCGTTCCAACGAAAGCAATTAATAAGAATTCATATTTTGATTTTATAAATATGGGGAACTATTCTCCTGGAACTGACCTAATTAGTTGTCAACAGTGTCTAACCACTGTTGAATATGGACAACAAACAAACGTCTGTATGGTGTGCTTCCAGTTGAGCAAAACTATTAGGAACATTTTTTAGTTATGCATGACTTGATGATAAAAACTTTTACTTAATATCCAAACTCGATTGGATTTAATAAGTGTTCATTGTTGAAAATATGAAAAATGGAATTTAATAAATAATATAGAAAAATTTAAACGAAAGTGAATGATAAAATTTGACTATGGTAATTTTTTGCTTTGATAGCATTGATTGCTAGATGATCTTTGAAACTGTTTAGCATTGGATTGTTCATTGAATTATTCGAAAAATATTTTCTTTGTAGATAATTTAATTAGGATCTTTCTACGACTATCAAGATTTAGATTCTCTGGTAATTTGAAATTGCTATTCTATGAAAGAACTAATGTTGTGGACCATAAGAATGTCAGACATTAGAAAGTTTCTTTTAAATTAATTCTTGAATATATATATATCATTTTTATATAAATATTCTATTGTCAAATTGGATGATTTTCGTCTCTGTTTAGATTCATACGAATACAGTTTTTATTCTTTTTTTGATAAAAGAAATTAATTATTTGACTTAGAATATTATTGGAAATATTTTTTAATTACAAGCAATTTTATTGCAAATTTCGATATTAACAACAGTTATTTATATAACATTTATTCAAATTATAACATCTTGTGTTGTGATCATCGGTTGTCTAACCATTGTAATTTCGCATCAACACTCAGTTGAAAAATTAACAATTCTTTATTTATCAAGACTTTAATAGGTGACAAACAAAACAATCATAGCATTCGTTAAAATTTTTTTGATTGATGTTTGCTTTGTCAACAACATCCCAGTAGTGAATCGTATACACGTAAGAAGGTAAAATGCATGTTGACATTCTTCTTAGGATAGTCGTTTTCGATTAGTTTGTAGCATTAACTATTTATTATGTCAATTTGATTTGATTTTGTAAGTCAACATGGCATCTACATCTTCAATAACGACGGACGAATTTAATCCTCGTTTCACCGTAGATGATGTCGGCGACCCAAATACTGTACTTCGACCTATTGAAGGATATCCGAGTGTGAAGAAACTTTCACTTTTTCGAAATCTTGAACGTGATGTATAGCTTACGAAAAAGGCTACTGAAGCAATAAAGACTTATCTTAGTCATGATGAATCGGCTGCAGTCGATCTATATACAATGGAACTCGAACTACGCAGTCTATATTCGATTTTAAATGAACTTGTTCGAGCAAAAGATAGAAAAAAAATTAAAACTATGGTTTTCATACCTGAATTTACTATTGACTGCTCTGTTTAATATGCCTTTTATTATCACCATTGTATGGCGTGGAGTAAAAGCTAAATGACATTTTTTATATGAAAAAGGAAAATTTTATATTTGGTGGCCATGTACTTCTTGTACTTTATCTGTTGAATTACTTGAAAATTCAATGTATTTAGATGATTCTGGTGATCAAACATTATTTTCAATTGAATGTTTTTCAAATAAAGCAATCAAAAAATATTTATACTATCAATAGAAAGATGAAATTTTACTTCTACCTGGAACATACTTAGAAGTTATTGAAAAAGCAAAACTAGGTGAAGGATTACATATTATTCGAATGCGTGAAGTTAATCCTTCTCATGTTTTACTTGGACCACCTATTAGGTTGGAGATCACACAAAATATTGAATTTATTCTTGATTCTGTTTATGAAGTTAATAAAGAAAATGATGTTGTTCCAAAATTATTCATTGTTTTGCCAGATCCATTACATCCATGGAATCAAGGTGACCCTATGAAAAATAAATTTCTATTGCATTTCATTAGTGAATGTTCGATTGATAATATTCATTTGGCAAATTATCCAGGCTATCCTATACCATATTCTAGTTTATTTTTTGAATTTTATAGTCAATATATGCAACAATTTATGATACCTCTTGCAAAACATCTATTTAAATGTCGTTAAACTACTACGATTCACAATAATTTTTTTTGGGACACATTTATGCAACATGTGTGTGAAATACAAGCGATCCTTACAAGATTACCACATAGTAAAAGTCATTTCGGTATGATAATGACTGGCACATGAGAACTGACGGATTTCTTACAAATCGGTGTAGAAGAGCAACGATTTGGATTTGAAAATTAGTTAAGAACCTTTTCTAATTTGCGTCGATCTATTACTGTGGACTTTACAGTTCGTTGGGTTTGTACTAAACATTATCCGTGTGATCTGCTTACAGCAATATATAGACTTAATACTTTGGATGAAACTAGTTTCGGCCAGGAGACCGCTCATTTGCACTTTGTATACAACATTAGAGATGTAAACGATGCAGAATATTTACAAGACGTTATTTCTGTTCATAGTCGATGTTATCATCTCGATCTACAGGTTGAAATTAAGAATTTTATAATCCATTTGATCGATCAGATTATCGAAACGCTTTGCAGACTTAATTGTCTGAGTTTGGGAAGCATGACTTCTCGAATCTACGAAAAGGACGGAGTATTTATTGGATCTAATGCACAATGTAAAAAAAAATTAATGTTCCAGCTCGATTTTCGGAGCATACTGCTATTGATACATCCATCACAATTTTAACTTTGCGCTCTCTTTGGCTATGTCACAATGACTGTACTAAAATTCTATGTGATAGATCAATGATTAAACATCTCAGTCCTAAATTATCCTCCTTGGGCATTCAGTTTAATAATTTTTCATTGATATTACCAAATCTATGCGATTTAATACAAACAAGCAAAAAACTGAATAGACTCTATATTAATTCTATAAGAAAGGATCATGTCGCTACAACTCTTACCGGCTATGAAGTGCAACAGCTATCTAATGCTATTTGTGCAAATTCTAATATAAGAACATTTCATATTAGAGTCGAACTAGACGACACTAGCACTTCGTTGTTAGCTCAAATGATTAGATCGTGCTTGAATTTGTTTTCTGTATCTTTGAGTATCATCATTTCTACACCAGAAGATTTTAATTCCATTATGACGGAAATTGTCGAAACTCGTAACTTATTATTTGTTTATGTGAATAAAACGCACTCACATAATTCCATGCAGGATCTATACATTTCACAAATTCCTATAACACAAAATTCAACTTCAACATCAATGATAATTATTAATTGTCTTTGAGACTTTCGAATATCTGAGTGTGTTATACAAAGCCTAGTAGTGTACAGTTTGAAATTAAACACAATTGTGTTGCATTTACGTCTGCATCAAGTTTTAACTGCTCAACAAGTAAAACACCTAGCAAGCGCTCTTCGTTTCAACAATTCATTGATCTCTCTAGACCTAAGTAATACGAATATCGATCGTATGGAAATGAAATGCATAGCTGAACTGCTTCAGCCAAAAGCTAACAATTTACGTAGGCTGTATTTAAGAGTATGCAATCTGACTGATACGATTGCTAAAGGTACTTGTTGAAAATAATCAGATAACACATTTGCATTTGGATGGTAATGAAATGGAAAATGCTAGTGCAAAAAGCCTTTCCGATATAATCCTCGTTAATATGTCTCTCACTTGCTTAAGTGTGCATGGAAATCAGTTGATGATTGATGACTTCAAACGCTTGTCACAGTCGTTAGTACGAAATTCCATTATGACTGGAGTTTATTTTGAGAATTTCGACTTAGCAGAGGCAGCCAAACTTATTTATGAAGCATTGGGTCGATATTCGACTATAGTACGATATTCGTTAGGGAATGGAACCAAAAAGGAGTGGGCAACTGCTCGTCAAATTAAACGACCTGATTTGATACTTTTCTAACGATTTCGTCATTTCAAGCATTGTTCTTCGTGAAATTTATAAGGTCATTTTAATACATAATATTAAACTTCCGTATAAAGGCACATTTTATGCTTCATTTTAGAAACAATTCAAGAACCATCATATAAACTGAGAATAATTTAGCCGATTGAACTTTTTGAAAGAAGAATTGATTAATGCGATAGTCTAGTATAAATCAATGAATAACTTCCATTCTGGCTCATTTGGTCGACTTCTCATCGGATCATTGCTTATAAATATATTTATTTTCTTCTCACAAAAAAGACTATCTGTCATCTTAAAACAAAATTCAACTTCTTTTAGCACTCTTATTATCATATACGAATCTCTATTGTTTCATTATGATAAGTATGATGATTAAATGATATCGTCGAAATCAACTGATAATATTTTATTTCCTTTTTTTACAGTTTTAGATAAAATTGAACAAAACAAATTAATCTTTAAGAAATAAGACAAATGTTTAATAAAATAAACTTTTGAAAAAAGAAAACAAAGTATAACAGTAACGTTTTTCTAAATGTTTTACATAATTTTTCCGTACTTGAACCTAATACAACTGTAGAAGTCTTATTGAAAACTCAAGACTACAAGTATTTTTTTTTTAAATTGGCAAGAAAGTAAATCCAAATAACTCCAATATGTATCAAACTTAATTAACTAAGTTTCTTTAAATGATAGCTACCACTATGAAATTTTTTTTATACGGACAAACTGCTCAAATTCTGTTCAAAGTTATTTCTTTCTACTAAAATACATAAAGAAGTCATTTTTTGTTTTTCAAAAACATCACTACATAGTGTTTTTCTTTTAATACTTCAGTTTCTTGCATTTTTTTTGTGATGTTTAGTGCAGTCAGAACTTGTGCTATTATTTCTATGCATTTGCTTTAGTATGTCACTACAACAAGAAGCCTAATTGTATCAAGTCTGGTGATCACCGAGCTCATCAGATCGGTTCACATCTTGAGGGCCACCAGTCATCGTTCAGAAATATAAAGCAATTTTATGAGCTTGACGATCACCAGACTTGAAATAGTTAGGCTTTTTGTTGTAGTCACATATCAAAACAAATGCATAGAAATGATAGCACAAGATCTCACTGAACTAAACACCACAAAAAATGCAAGAAACTGAAGCATTAAAAGAAAAACATTGCGTAGTAATTTTTTTTGAAAACCGAAAAATGACTTTAGTAGAAAGTAATAACTTTGGACAATATTTGAGCAGTTTGTCCGTATCAAAAGAAACTTCACAGTGGTACCTATCATTTGAAGAAATTTAGTTAATTAAGTTTGATACATGTTGGAGTTATTCGGATTTACTTTCTCATCGACTTTTAAAACACCTTGTATATTCTACGATAAGATAAAAAAACGTATGATTAATATTACTATATAAATAACTTCATTTAGAATTCACGTAGTAATTATAGTATCAATATAAATTCGGAAAATCAATAATATATTTTATTATTTTTATACTTTATACAGTAATTCCCTCAAAGCGGTTTCATATTAATTAATTTTCTATTTAATTAATAACAATACTAATAAAGTGTTACATTTCATTTTCTGACGACTCATGTGTAATAGTTTTAGTTCTAAAAGTTCTCCTTGCAGTAAATACATAATTATATAAAGTGTTATTAAATACTCTCAATCAATGACATATACCCTTCTATTAAAAGAAAATAATCTACCTATGATAAATGATCATTATTCTCTTTTTATATAATATAATAAATGAACAGGAATTACTCATAGAAAACTACATTAGATGACAGTTTTGACGAGAATAATTTACGTTATTTATTTAATTTGAAAATCTTGACATACATGAATAAGGAACAGTTTTTCTTGTTCTTTACGACAACATACATAAAATATGAATTACATAACTCTTGTTACAAGTTTCATTAGATTTCCTATTATTGTGATAGTATATTATAACAGCAATAGATGCGATTTTATCCTTGATTGAATATAAAAAATAGTTCTTTGCCAATTATAAAAAATATTTTATGATAACAATTGCTAAAATAATATATTGTTAAAATTTGTCGTAGGATTTCAGCTAAATGATATTTAAATATCAGCATCAGATTACAGAAAAAAAATGGGAAAAGACAAATTCTATCGAAAAAAATGATAATACAGTTCTTTATAATACAAAAGCGAATCCTTCGAATTCATACATAAGATAAATGAGTGACTCACAGAAATGAGTATATTGCATATCAAGTATCAACACTGCCTACCTTCTTTAATCAATATCGTGACACAAAGCAACTATCACGCCATTTTTCTCTGATATATTAATACTGTTTGATATTGATATACGGATAAAACTCATTTCACTTGATCATGCAAGTAAATGAATAAATTCTGTCTCTCGCTTCTAATTTCAAAAAATCTATCAATATCTTCGAGGATTAGACAGATGTTTTTACTCTCAAAGTAAAAGTTTCAGCCTGATTTATTTCTAATTACTCATGAAGTATATTTAGTTGTTTAATTAAATGTAACTATCTCAAAATGTTCTATTATTGTGGTAATTTTACTTTAGCTTAAAATCTATCCACTACCTCTCTATTTTCCAAACATTGTGTATTTTTATTTATTACACATAAAGCTGATTTCTTCTACTATCAAAATATTCAACTATGAATACAAATCTTTTTTGTTTATAGTTATTCTGTATCTGCTTTGTTTTATCTCTTGAAAAAATACAAGCAACAAATGGACAACAAGTACAGCTTAGAACTTCGTATTCTATACAACTTTTCACCAGACGATCACATTACTACAGTAGTACTCGATAGAGAAAAGTTTTTTTTACGATCACCTTTCCATATATCGATGGTGAATATCTCTGTATTTTCTAAATTTGATGAAGTACATATTTTTCATTAGACATGGGCAGCATGCTCAAACATCATATCGTCCAATAAAAACTAATTGAGACGAATGAACTTCGACAAAAATTAGCTCATTCCTTATTAGACGTAGGAAATACGCTAATAAATACTGTGTAATGATTTGGATCAAGACTTTGTACTTTTTTCTTGTAAACCCAATTATTTGGTTGCCTATAGTATTGAATGAAAAAGAAGAGATTTACTTATGTTTGTTAACT